GAGTAAATCTGCAAGGGTGAAGATATCTGTTGCTGCAAATTATATCTCACAAATTAGCACACATCGGAATTTCAGGTTTTCTGAGAGAGACAAGATGCTAAAATATAAGCGCAAGAGGGGAATTTAAATACCAAAAGATTTAGAGAACACACTTTTAAATACTCTATAGATAAAAACAGTCAGTGGTAAATTAGCAAATCAGAACTGCAGTCTTTCATATTTTTAAAATATAATGCAAAAGTACGCAGAATAATAACCCAGCCTCAAAGAACGCGCCACTTCAACCAACTGAATTTTCAGAAATAAACGCTTGTAATAAGAATTTCGGGTTCCTGAACCTGCAAATCATTAAAACAGTAGCTGGAAATGGACGCTAAGGATTGGATTCAACTAGCAGAGCAATGTACTTTGCGCATACATTTTTTTTCAGTTCTCTAAGCCTATTAGGAAATGTCATTATATGCAGCATGCGAATGTGTTACACTAGCCATTTAGGGGAATAAAATAATAAATCCGACAAAGTAGATCATTTTTTTCATTTGATATTGATAAACTTCACAATAAAACGATTTCAGTGCTTTCAGCAGGGAGGCCCTATCTATTTATGATTAATATATTTCCTACATTTTTTACGAGCACATGTCTTTCGAAAACGTCCTGTTTCACAGATGCATTTGTGAAGCCAATCGTGAAAACCTTTGAGATATTAGACTTTTCTCCTTACTGACATACTAAAATAGTCGTAAAATCTCAGAAAATTTTCAAGTCTTTCTGCTGTCATATGGAGGCTAATATATGAAGTGATAATGACGCAATATTACCAATATGGTAAAAAACTATCTTGGCTGAATTATTAAAAGGTAGAAAGAATTCATTCAACGCTGTTTGCTTCTGCATATGGTGCAAATATGCCTTAATAGGTCACATATAAAAATAACTGTCAAAAATTATGCAAATATTTATTTATCATTGGTAAGTCTTCATTATTGCTGCAATGTTATTAACATTTTGTGCTAATATCTTATTCAGGTAATGTTTTGCTAGACAGCTTAAGACTTTCTTTTGCGTTAAATAAATTTGCAATAACTCATCTAATTTTTCTACAGTAATCAACATGCCATCTATACGAATCTGATTGCAGATAAAGCATTTAAATGTCAAATAAATCTTTTTAGCTGCATTTTTAATACTAAATTTTGTAATATTTCCCATTGCTGCATGGATATAGATATTTGTTCGTCTCTGATTGCAGACTGAACTGACATTTTATTCATTTAATGCTTTAAACTCTGGGCGGGTGATCAGTTTATCATGCAAGCGTTTGATGTGTTTCAAGCTTACATGAAAATGCAACCCTTGCGTTTTGTTGTAAGTTAAAATTTTCTGATGTAGAGACAGAAATTTTTAAGTACCTCGCTGCGTTGGCTTTATTTGAATCTAAGTCAGCTCCTTTTAAGTTTCTCTGTCCAAAAAAGTCATGAGATTTAAAGTCTAATTTATAAAAATTTATCATTATGAATTAAAACAACGCTTGATTCCCTCTGTTTGGCGATGACTGAAGTCAATGCAACGATCTCTTAAGACAGCTGCTCATAAACAGATGAGCAGCGAGCCCAAGGAATGAGTTTTCAATCATGGGAATTTTTAATTTACAAACAAATTTCCATGAAATTACTATAGCTACTAGGGAAGCATTACTACGAACGATTTTACGTCATCGGTATCATTTGTTGCATCGATCCGCACAATGTAAATGCAGCCGTTTTACCAAAGAGCCATTATCTTTACTGAATTAGTGACTTGGCAGAAAATTGGTTGATCTCTGTTTATGTTTAATTGCGGGCAAGCGCACTCATATGCTGAATCGAAAGACGTAGCTGCATTCAT